GCCGTCTGTGCCACACTGCTGGCCCCCCCCCAGTACAGGGTGGTGCAGCAAGAGCCGTCTGTGCCACACTGCTGGTCCTCCCCCCCCCTAGTACAGGGTGGTGCAGCAAGAGCCGTCTGTGCCACACTGCTCCCCCCCCAGTACAGGGTGGTGCAGCAAGAGCCGTCTGTGCCACACTGCTGGTCCTCCCCCCCCCAGTACAGGGTGGTGCAGCAAGAGCCGTCTGTGCCACACTGCTGGTCCCCCCCCAGTACAGGGTGGTGCAGCAAGAGCCGTCTGTGCCACACTGCTGGTCCCCCCCCCCAGTACAGGGTGGTGCAGCAAGAGCCGTCTGTGCCACACTGCTCCCCCCCCCAGTACAGGGTGGTGCAGCAAGAGCCGTCTGTGCCACACTGCTGCCCCCCCAGTACAGGGTGGTGCAGCAAGAGCCGTCTGTGCCACACTGCTCCCCCCCCAGTACAGGGTGGTGCAGCAAGAGCCGTCTGTGCCACACTGCTGGTCCCCCCCAGTATAGGGTGGTGCAGCAAGAGCCGTCTGTGCCACACTGCTCCCCCCAGTACAGGGTGGTGCAGCAAGAGCCGTCTGTGCCACACTGCTGGTCCTCCCCCCTCCAGTACAGGGTGGTGCAGCAAGAGCCGTCTGTGCCACACTGCTCGTCCCCCCACCCCAGTATAGGGTGGTGCAGCAAGAGCCGTCTGTGCCACACTGCTGCCCCCCCCCAGTACAGGGTGGTGCAGCAAGAGCCGTCTGTGCCACACTGCTGCCCCCCCCAGTACAGGGTGGTGCAGCAAGAGCCGTCTGTGCTACACTGCTGCCCCCCCAGTACAGGGTGGTGCAGCAAGAGCCGTCTGTGCCACACTGCTGGTCCCCCCCAGTATAGGGTGGTGCAGCAAGAGCCGTCTGTGCCACACTGCTCCCCCCCCCAGTACAGGGTGGTGCAGCAAGAGCCGTCTGTGCCACACTGCTGCCCCCCCCCCAGTACAGGGTGGTGCAGCAAGAGCCGTCTGTGCCACACTGCTGGTCCCCCCCCAGTACAGGGTGGTGCAGCAAGAGCCGTCTGTGCCACACTGCTGGTCCCCCCCCCAGTATAGGGTGGTGCAGCAAGAGCCGTCTGTGCCACACTGCTGCCCCCCCCAGTACAGGGTGGTGCAGCAAGAGCCGTCTGTGCCACACTGCTGCCCCCCCCCAGTACAGGGTGGTGCAGCAAGAGCCGTCTGTGCCACACTGCTGGTCCTCCCCCCCCCAGTACAGGGTGGTGCAGCAAGAGCCGTCTGTGCCACACTGCTGGTCCTCCCCCCCCCAGTACAGGGTGGTGCAGCAAGAGCCGTCTGTGCCACACTGCTCCCCCCCACCCCAGTACAGGGTGGTGCAGCAAGAGCCGTCTGTGCCACACTGCTGGTCCCCCCCCAGTATAGGGTGGTGCAGCAAGATCCGTCTGTGCCACACTGCTCCCCCCCCAGTACAGGGTGGTGCAGCAAGAGCCGTCTGTGCCACACTGCTGGTCCTCCCCCCAGTATAGGGTGGTGCAGTAAGAGCCGTCTGTGCCACACTGCTGGTCCTCCCCCCAGTATAGGGTGGTGCAGTAAGAGCCGTCTGTGCCACACTGCTGGTTCCCCCCTTCCAGTATAGGGTGGTGCAGCAAGAGCCGTCTGTGCCACACTGCTGGTCCTCCCCCCCCAGTATAGGGTGGTGCAGCAAGAGCCGTCTGTGCCACACTGCTCCCCCCCCAGTACAGGGTGGTGCAGCAAGAGCCGTCTGTGCCACACTGCTCCCCCCCAGTACAGGGTGGTGCAGCAAGAGCCGTCTGTGCCACACTGCTCCCCCCCCCAGTACAGGGTGGTGCAGCAAGAGCCGTCTGTGCCACACTGCTGGTCCCCCCCCCCCAAGTATAGGGTGGTGCAGCAAGAGCCGTCTGTGCCACACTGCTCCCCCCCCCAGTACAGGGTGGTGCAGCAAGAGCCGTCTGTGCCACACTGCTGGTCCCCCCCCCCCAAGTATAGGGTGGTGCAGCAAGAGCCGTCTGTGCCACACTGCTGGTCCCCCCCAGTACAGGGTGGTGCAGCAAGAGCCGTCTGTGCCACACTGCTTGTCCCCCCCCAGTACAGGGTGGTGCAGCAAGAGCCGTTTGTGCCACACTGCTGGTCCCCCCCCCCCCAGTACAGGGTGGTGCAGCAAGAGCCGTCTGTGCCACACTGCTGGTCCTCCCCCCCCAGTACAGGGTGGTGCAGCAAGAGCCGTCTGTGCCACACTGCTGGTCCTCCCCCCCCCCAGTACAGGGTGGTGCAGTAAGAGCCGTCTGTGCCACACTGCTGGTCCTCCCCCCCCCCCCAGTACAGGGTGGTGCAGCAAGAGCCGTCTGTGCCACACAGCTGGTCCTCCCCCCCAGTACAGGGTGGTGCAGTAAGAGCCGTCTGTGCCACACTGCTGGTCCTCCCCCCCCCCCCCAGTACAGGGTGGTGCAGCAAGAGCCGTCTGTGCCACACAGCTGGTCCTCCCCCCCAGTACAGGGTGGTGCAGTAAGAGCCGTCTGTGCCACACTGCTGGTCCTCCCCCCCCCCCAGTACAGGGTGGTGCAGCAAGAGCCGTCTGTGCCACACAGCTGGTCCTCCCCCCAGTACAGGGTGGTGCAGTAAGAGCCGTCTGTGCCACACTGCTGGTCCTCCCCCCCCCCAGTACAGGGTGGTGCAGCAAGAGCCGTCTGTGCCACACTGCTGGTTCCCCCCCCCCAGTATAGGGTGGTGCAGCAAGAGCCGTCTGTGCCACACTGCTCGTCCTCCCCCCCCCAAGTACAGGGTGGTGCAGCAGGAGCCGTCTGTGCCACACTGGTGCCTCGCGTGTTGCCAGAGGCCGCCATCCACTCCACTTGTCGCCTCAGATACTCCCCAATATTTCAGTGCTCGTGTCCTCTATTTTGTAAACATCTGTTATCTATTGTTCAATATCTGTCCATTATTATTTTTCTTCATGTTCCACTAAAAGAGTCGTGTTATTGGGTAATAATTGTGCACCCTAGATATTTCTGAAGGGTTGAGCATCGGCCTCAAATAATGCGTTTCGCATTATTGAATGTTTATTGCAATGGCTCGTTTTTCTGTTCGAATTTCATACTGTATATTGAGCTCCGACTTTTTCTTTTTTTTTTAACATGAAAGAATTTTTGTTTTACCTTTCCGGTACTCGTTTCTCTCTTAATTGCTTCCACATATCCTCGTTACCTTGGTCCTCGCTTTTTCCTTGTTTGTGTGTTCATTCTCCTCTGAATCTTTAATGTCGTTATCATGTCCTTCCATGTTTAAGATACACGATGAGGAATGAGATGAGGCTTTACCATACACCTCGTTATGTTGCCTCACCGGTGTGAGGCTTCAGCATACACCGTAATACACAGGGTTGTAGAATACACCGGGAGTCTTGGAGCCTTAGGCCAACCCCTGGATACCTTAAGGTGAAGCTTACATACTCTTTATTCCCAACATCCTGCAAGCTCTGCACAACCTCAGACCTTTCTCCCCCCCCCCCTCTCTCTCTCTCTCTCTCTTCTCTCTCTCTCTCTCTCTCTCTCTTTCTCTCTTTCTCTCTTCTCTCTTTCTCTTTCTCTCTTTCTCTTTCTCTCTTTCTCTCTTTCTCTTTCTCTCTCTCTCTCTCTCTTTTCTCTCTTTCTCTTTCTCTCTTTCTCTCTTTTTCTCTTTCTCTCTTTCTCTCTCTCTCTCTCTCTCTCTCTCTCTCTCTCTCTCTCTCTCTCTCTCTCTCTCTCTCTCTCTCTCTCTCTCTCTCTCTCTCAATCCTAACGTTGTACAAAATTAAGCGTCTCGATAAATTCTGTGCACCTGCGTTAGAGCAACAGATATTAAACCCAAAATGTAGAATTTATAAAAGCGACGTAAATTGTTGTGTGAGACGAGGGCGAGGAGGATGGCGGCCACAACCTGCATCTCTATTGTCTTCACACACAGAGATCACACTAACGTGATGCATCAAATGAACAAATCCACAAGGGAATCTCTGATCTCTGATGTGTGATGATGTAAGGGCGGAGAGGGAGAAAGGCCTATTGACATAGCTCGGGTGCAGGGGGGAGTTGTGTAAAAGCCTGGTTTGTGTCTCGGAGAGGCTACGGGATCCAGTAAGTTCAGTAGAACTTCGATTTCAACCCTTTTACCCTGTCGTAGCTCAGACGATTAAGGCAGTGTCTGGGATGCTCCCGGACGCAGGTTCGAATCCTCGTCACGGCCCTTGTGGATTTGTTCTATTGTCTTAGCTTACTCTAGGGAAGGTAGGGTCACCCTTGGCTTACTCTAGGGAAGGTAAGGGTCACCCTTAGATTACTCTAGGGAAGGTAAGAGTGACCTGTACACTCACAATGGGTATCATTTTCTGGCTCTGGAAGGCTAATCATGGTCTATGGTAGTGGTGGGAGGGCCATAACTATTGCGGAAGGTGCAGTGGATGGCTTATATGATTGGTGGAATGTGGTAATGGTGCTTCTGTTGTTACGGCAGGTTTTATATTCAGCTACTGGGAACAAAAAGTTCCTAAGTAGCACGGGCTATGGTGAGCCCGTGTACCTGGCACAGGAGCGGGACTGTAAGTTATAAAAAGTGTCTTGTGAGATAGAAGGTTGGGAGTTTGGTATGAATTAAGGTATAAGGGATGGATCTGTAATGATAAGTGATAAACCTTGTAATTGGTATTGTCATCAGTATTATTTGGTATGAAGCCCTACCCTTACCTTCCCTAGAGTAAGCTAAGGGTGAAGGAAGGAAGATGGAATAGATGAAGGAATAGATGAAGGCAGATCTATTTTCCTGCCTACTATGACTTTATCCAAATAATATTAGATATATTTTGAGTTTAATATGTATTTTTACTCATGCACATCTATACTGCTAATTGTAGTTATTTCTCTCTCATTGATTGTGTGACGTTGTGATCCTGTGTGACCTCTGCCCCTGTGTGACCTCTAACCCTCTGACCCTGTGTGACCTTGCTGGTGTGTTCAGATTCTCCAGACTTCCGGTTGCGACGGTGGCCAGCGTGGGGGTCTCCTGTGAGAGAAGGAACCACCGTCTCCCTCCTCTGTCACGTCGACGCCAACCCCCCCTCCAGTCCCACTTGGGTCAAAGGTCAGTCTTCACACTCTTGACTCGCAGTCTTTGATAAATATGTAGTGTAATATCTGAATAATCTATGTACAAAATATGACCTCTGTCCGAGGTTAATGGAGAGGTAGTGTGATGATGTATTACACGCTGAACTGGAGCTGTATGATACAAGATGTGATGTTTGGCTGTATTTCACCCGTAGTGTATAAGGCTATACATGCTGTATGGTTCACCCTGTTATGATCCCCTTGACCTACAGTGACTCTCTAAAACTGTAATGACCCCGTGACCTGTAGTGACTGCCCAATACCTATGTTGACCTGCAATACCTGTAATGACCCCTTGTCCAAGACCTGAGTGACCCACCTTGACCTACAAAGGCCCCTTGACTTGTAGTGACCCCTCCCCATACACCTATATTGATCCCATGATGATGTACACCCCCACCCCCTGTAGTGACATGATAATGATACGTGACCCCCATGACCTGTAGTGACCACCTAGACCTACAATGATTACTGTACTGGTGCGTGACCTCCCTATGACCTCTCTTGACAGAGACGGAGGGCGGGTCGACGGAGGTGGCGTCGTCCGGGGAGTGGCTGAACGTGACGAGGGCGGGCAGTGGTGACCGAGGCTGGTACAAGTGCTCCACCTCCCACACCTTCGGTCACTTCTCCTCTCACTCGGTCTTTATCAATGTCCTCGGTGAGTGCCACTACTCTCTTTTGGTTCATGTTCTTAGTGCCACTACTATTTGTTCATGTCATTCAGTGCCTGTACACTATTCATGCGATGTGCCAGAATGCTCACCAGTCATCGTGTACTCAGAGTACACTCGCCATTCACTCAGCGAGTGCCAATACATCATGCACTCACGAGTGCCAACACACTCATCACCATGCACTGAGGGAATGTAGACTAATGATAGCCATGGTGCGAGTATTGCAGCTGGAGGTGCCGCAGCTGCCCCACTCATTAACAGCTGGTATCCGCCAGGTGAGGGCCCGGGGTCGGGGTCGTCCCCACACACCCCACAACTGCTGAGGAAGACCACGGCGGCTGACGGCCTCCCCTCACACTGCTTCGCCCACAACACCACCCTCCTCCCCCACGCAGGTCAGCACCTGCACTACTAATGTCTTCCTTTATCTCGTGTGTGTGTAATTACCTAAGTCTAGTTACAGGATGAGAGCTGCGCTCATCTCCCTGTAACTACACTTCTTAACTGTTAACACCCCGTCTTCCCAGCATTCTTGACCAGACCACACACTAGAAGTTGAAGGGACGACGACGTTTCGGTCCGTCCTGGACCATTCTCAAGTCGTTGAATCGACTTGAGAATGGTCCAGGACGGACCGAAACGTCGTCGTCCCTTCACCTTCTAGTGTGTGGTATGGTCAACATACTTCAGCCACGTTATTGTGACTCATCGCCTGCATAACAGCATTCATATAATATATATATACTGTATATGTGCGTGTGTGTTAATTGTATAACAAAAGCAACATTAAGGAGGTTGTGTTGGTGGATATTACAGGCGGGGTGGTGGTGGTGGAGGCGGTGAATACGACGGTGCTGTCTATGGGCGGACGGACGACAGCGTTGGCGGCTGTCGTGTGCAGTCGTCCGCCGCCCTCCTCCGTCACCTGGCTCCCGCCGGGCCGCCAGCCGCCCCTCGACGCGGGCGCCACCACAGACAGGTTCCGGGCACACAACCTCACGGTCAGACTCCTACACTTGCTGTAATATAGTTCACTTGTCTCCATCATAATGGTGTATGTGGCTAAGTTGCCGAGTGTTGTTGTTTATTTACTTGTGGCGGCCGAGAAATACTGAGTAACGTTTGGTTCGATAATTACAAGTGCATGGGGGATGTGACAGGTAATGCTGTGTCGTGTATTGACCTCATTTACACTACAATTGTCAACAATAACGTGTTAGTGACAATTCATCTTTCTGAGGCCTTCAGCTAACGTAACACTGCTTAACAGCAGAGTGAACCCCCCCCTATCTGGGGGGAGCAATGGAGATGGTAGGAGGGAAGTTGGGAGGAATTGTTGTACAAAACAAAATTTTAAGAGTACTAATGTGTTATTTTGTGCCCACAGGCGGGGGAGATCCCTGGGTGCGTGTACACAGTGGTGACCATCGTCGGTGTCCGGCCCAGTGACGCTGGCAGCTGGGTGGTGGTGGCCGCCAGTGAGAGGGACGCCGACGCCGCTCTCATCCGTCTCAATGTCACCGCTGCCGCCCACTCCTTCGCCGCCAGCATAGCCTTCGCCCAACATGTCGACGCTGTTACCAACCTCCACACGCTACTCCTGGCAGCTTTTATTATCTTCCGTTCCTCTACTCTCCAGCCTTGAACCGCGTTACATGTGACGTCATGTGTCAATTTCGGAACCTAGTAGGCTGTGAATGCCAATCGAGGAATCCACGAGATTGTGTGGAGCAACTTTGATGCCCACAAGACTTTAGGTGCCAACTCCGGCGTCCACATGACTGTGGGGGCCAATTAAGGTATCTGTGGGTGCCAACTTCTTGACCAAATCGTGGGAGGCGGCTACCTTATACACCGGCTGGTGTGTTCCAGTGACGCGACCTCCGTTATACACAGCCATTCGCTGCGTTACTCTATGTCCGTAGGTCTTATTTGTCCAAAAACTGTGATAGTGTTATGACTGAGGGTAACGAGAGGACACAGTGATGTGAGGCGGCCCCGTTACCAGTTACAGATATCGGAAAACACTGTCACAGGGCACTGGTCACTATCAGGAAGGATGGTGTAACGTAACACCAAGACTAATGGGAGACGACCCGTTACAAAGATTGTGATGCACAAGGACTATGAAGCAAGACGACCTTTACGAGGACTGATAGGAGACGACTGTTACAAGTACAGGGGCGAAGCACAGGCCGTGATGTTCAACATGTGGCAGAGATGTTTATATTATCTTTAGCTAGCTAATTTGTCATATCATATTTATAATGAGCAATGACATGAGGTGTGGCCAGGAGCAGGTGTGGCCATTGGCAAGTGTGGTTAAGTGATAGTGTGTTAAGTGCAAGTATGGTTAAGTTCCCATTGTATATTTCAGTTGGCATGTTGAGATTTGACCAATATGGTTGGAAGTCAGCGTAGATATGACAAAGTATACATACTCACCTATGTATGTTCAGTGTGACCAAGTATAGAGATGATGGTATTAGCCGGCCATGTGTGGCCATTGACGATGGTAGAGAAGGCTTAACTTACCTGGATGGTAGTTCAGTAATTCCTAGAACGAATTTATTTGAGGATGGTAAGTATATTTTTAATAATGCTCAAGCCAGTTTCCAGAGTATTATATCTCCACCAGGCTGTTGTGATCCTAATTGGTTCAACACGACCCGGCCTAGCGAGGCAGATATGCCATATTCAGTCAATGGTAGCGACTCATGACCCAAGAATTGTTCGACTCTTCTATATATACTTTGCACTCCCTGTACGGAGAGAAGCTTATGGTGGCCTAATCCGTACATGTGTGGTCAGATGTGCGCGTGTCTGTGAATGCTGCCAGTGTGGTATGGACTTACTGTAGGAGTTTTTGGATTACTGAAAGTAGGACCGTATGACTCATTGTGGGTGTAGACTAGTGTAGGTATGGTCCATTGTAGATCTGGACCAACAAGGGTGTACATCACTGTAGGCGAGGCCAAGTGTTCAAGTGGCCCAGTTTTAAGTATTGACTGATTTGGACGTGGAAATTTAAGGATGTGTCCTCGTGTACTCACTTAATTGTACTCGCCTACTTGTCCTTGAGATGGTCGAGCTTCGGCTCTCTGGCTCTGCCTCTTAACAGTCAATCAACTGTGTACAGGTTCCTGGGCCTATTGGGCTTTATCGTATCTATATTTGAAACTGCATATGGAGTTTGCCTCCACCACATCACTTCCTAGTACATTCCATTTAACTATGGCACTGAAAATTTTTTTCTAGTGTCTCTGTGCCTCATTTGGGTAATAGGTTTCCACTTATGTCCCTGTGTTTATGCTCGGTATTAAGTTTCCACTTATGTTCCCTTGTTCATATTCCACCCTTTGTCTTTATTAACCGTCAATTCCTCTGAGAATTCTGTAGGTTATCTTGATGATTTCGGGGCTTTAGTGTCCCCCGGCCCGGTCCTCGACCAGGCCTCCACTTCCAGATAGCAGCCCGTGACAGCTGACTAACTCACAGGTACCTATTTACTGATAGGTAACAGGGGTATCAGGGTGAAAGAGAGACTGCCCATTGTTTCTCGCCGGCGCCTGGGATCGAACCCGGGACCACAGGATCACGCGTCCAGTGTTCTGTCCGCTCAACCACCTGGGACACCGGGTACGGGTAGGTGGTAATCATGTTTTCCCTAACTCTTCTGTCTTCCAGTGACATCAGGTTTAATTCCAGTAGCCTTTCTTTACAACTCATACCTCTCGGCTCTGGGATTAGTCTGGTGGCATACCTCTGAACTTTCTCAAACTTTGTCTTGTGGCTGACTAAGTATGAACTCCACACTGGAGCTGCATACTCCAGTATTAGTCTGACATGTGAGGTGTGCAATAAAGATGTTAATAATAATAATAATGTTCTGAATAATTCCTTACACAAGTTTCTAAAGACAGTTCTTGAGTTAGGCATCAAAGCATATACTGCTAATGATATTTTTATATGGGTTTCAGGGGGCCAGGTTCAGTGTGATATCAACCCCCCAGATTTTTCTACCTGATTCTTGAAGGATTTCATCTCCGAATTGGTACCTTGTGTCAAGCCTTGTGCTCCCTGAACCTACTTCCATTACACTTATTTGGAGGTAAATGCTAGTAGCCATTCGTTGGACCATTCCTTCAGTTTGTCCAGGTCATATTGTCTCTTGCTGTCTTTTCCTGTCTTAATTCTCATGATTTAAGCATAGTTGGTAAGTTCGGAGAGGAATCTGTCTATATCCTTTGAAAGATCATTTACATCAGAAATAAGATAGATCCAAGTACATAACCCAATGGGACTCTGCTACTGACATCTCACCATTCTCAGGTCTCCCCTTCACAGCAAGTTGCTTTTTCTGTTGCTTAAATTCATCTACCAGAGCACCTTATCTATTACTATTGCCCTCTTCTCCAACTTGTACAGCAGCCTGTTATGTGGGTACTGATTAAAAGGCTTTCTGACAGTACAAGAAAATGCAGTCTATCTACCCTTCTTGCCTAATTTTTGTTGCGAGCTAATGAAATTCTGTTAAAGCTGTGAGACTATTTACCATCCCAGAACCTGTGTTGGTGGTGTATTACAAAGTCTCCTCTCCAGATGTGCTACAAGCTTTTTTCTCACGATCCTATCACCTTGCATGGTATACAAATTAGGAACACTGGCCTGTAGTTCAGTGCCTCCTGCCTTTCACTCTTTTTGTATTTTGGGACTATGTTACACGTCTTCCAACCTTGTGGTAAGTTTCCTGTTTCCAATAACCTTTTATACAATATAGAATCTCGCCATGGGTATTAAAAGATGGTGCAAAAGCACTATGCATGCCACACTGCCAGGTCTAACAGACTTTGTCATGTCCGCTCCAGCTGATGCCTCTTGACTTAATTCCCTTAATTTCAAATTCTACCAAGGTTGCTTGGCTTACCTCCACCTCTCAGTTCGGGAACTTTTCCTTGTTTTTTTCTGAAGACTTCCTGGAATCTATTGTTGAGTTCTTCACACACCTTGTCTTGGTGTGTACCAATCCTTCCAGTTTCTCAATTTCATCATCTGTAGTTTCACTGCTGTTTTTGTTCTGATGTGGCTGTGGAGCAGTTTTGGTTGGGTCTTGGCTTTTCTTGCTTTGTCTTGTTCATGCTGTCTCACATCGAGGTACCCATTCTTGGCTCTCTTGTATCTCCCTCTGCTCTCTGGTGTTATGTTATTTCTTAATGCCCTTGTACTTAATTGCCTTGCTTCCTTATGTGCCCAATTGAACGAAAGATATCTCTTTTGCTTTTAACTGTTCTCCTCTTGAGTCTGGATAAACTTGTCTGCTGCCCCCTGACGCTTCTGGGTGATGTATTCCTTCACATAGTGTATAGTCTTTTCTCAGTTCTGTTTGCTATGGTATACCTATTACAAAATTTATCATCATAATTTCCCCTTCAGTATGGCAGCGCTTTCTCTCTGGTCTTTCTTAGATAGGTTAATCCTACTTACACAACACACTCAAATGTCAGTACACTGTGTCGCTCATTCCCATGGGGTTAGTTTGACTTCCCTTATGGCCGACTCCTTCAGAGTGAACATCAGAGTGAACATCAGGTCAAGCCTAGCTGGTTAATCATTGCCTCGCATTTTTGTGGGTCTATGACATGTGGACTCGGGAAGTTCCTCATTGCAGTGTCCAATAGTCTAGCTCTTCATGTATCTGTACGTCCACATGATTCTCCGTTCTCCCAGTCTTTTTTTTCGTGGTTGAAGTCTTCCATGATCAATACAGTAGTTTCAATTCCTTCCTGCAGGTAACCGAAGCTGCTGCTGCTTCTTTATTATATTAATGGTTGCCATGTTATTTCTATCATTCTCCTGTCTGGATCTTGTCATTTAATGAAGCATTTTATATATATTATACACACACACATATATATTTTATATTTTATTTATATATATACACAAGAGTTCTTACATTTTTGTACAGCCACTAATACGCATAGCGTTTCTGGCAAGTCCTTAATCCTAATTTTCACACACGCACATCTCCAGGAAGTAGCCCATAGCAGCTGTCTAACTCCAGGTACCTATTTACTGCTAGGTGAACAGGGGGCATCAGGGTGAAAGAAACTCTGCCCGTTTATTTCCGCCTCCGCCGGAGATTGAGCCCCGGACCCTTAGGACTACGACCCCTGAGCCTTGTCCACTCAGCCATTGGGCCCCAATTACTAGTACAGAGTTATATATTACTATTATCATTGGTCTTCCCATTGTCAGTGCCTGTTATGTAGTCACTGAACCCTTTACAGTCTGGGATATTCATCTCTTCCAAAGTCTAGTCCTTTCTTATCAACATCATTCTTCCTTCTCTCTTTCCTTACTATATAGTAGTTCTGCAGAAACATTGCATTTATTATGATGCCTGACAATTTAATTTCTGTAAGTTTTAGTACATCTGGGTTCTATTCTTGTGGCCGTTCCTCAAGTTCACCTAGTTTATTTGCAATCCCATCTATGTTTGAATACATTATTTTGAAGCTCGCTTTCTTCTGTCCATTATCGTATCATCTCTCTACTAGTGTAAGTAGTTCTGTGGGTGGCCTATTTGTTTGGGTCTGTTGTCCCATGGTTACCAGGGGGGTTTCAAGAGTTGTGGCGATGGGGATCTTGCATCTTGCCTAGGCTTACTTAGGCAGCAACCCGTTCTCGCAAATTTAATAAGTCAATATTGACTTATTAGTTGCGTGCATAGGTGACATACTAAACATAATAGTTTCCCTTGAAAAGCTTCATAGAAAACACCGACCTTACCTAACCTACTTAGTATGTTAAAATAAGCATCTTATAGCTTCGTAATTACAATTGTTACTTAACCTATTATAGGTATAGGTTAGGTAATAATTGTAATTACGAAGCAATAAGATGCTTATCTTAACATACTAAGTAGGTTAGGTAAGGTCGGTGTTTTCTATGAAGCTTTTCAAGGGAAACTATTATGTTAAGTATGTCACCTATGCACATATTTAATAAGTCAATATTGACTTATTAAATTTGCGAAAACGGGTTGTAGGCAGGGAGGTCAAGGGTTGGGGAGGCAGGGAATAATCGGTGGTTTAGGGCGAGAGGGTTAATGGTGCAGGGGGGCATTTGATAGGAAGGGTGGGGAGGGTTCGTGGGGCATTGGATGGGGTGGGTGGGGTTGCTATGGAGTGGAAGGTTGGGTGTTGCACCCTCTAGAATTATTAGGTTGAAGACTCTGGTTCCCCAGTTCTCTTCTCTCTCCATGTTCCTCTACTGCCTTTATTCTCTCGTCCCTTGGCATGTCCCTCTGAAAGAATTCCTTTTGTAACCCATTAAATTTTGCTCTTCCTTGCTAGAAACTACTTTTGTGGCCTCGTTTGTGAATCTCTCTACTTCTTGTACCAGCCTAGCCTGAAAACCTAAATACTTTGTTCGGCCATGTAGGCGTGTCCAAGTGTACTGAATAGACCAGTATGGGTGTGAATAAGTGCACATGTGGACTTGGATGAGTGTGGCTGTGCACAAACATTGCCAAGATGAGGCTGTCATATCCACTTTATATATAATACAGACCAGAATTAAACCATGTAACAAACACAGCACAGAGCTATGCCCAAGTACATAAAGAGAGCTTAAAACAAAAACTTTTCAAACAAGATATGGACTCAAGATATGGATATGGACAAGATAACAAGGGCCATAAAGAACAGTCATAACCAATTGTTACACCTGGGGAGAAGCAGGCCTCGACTCACACCTAGATCATATTTAATGATGTAAGCCACACCTGGCTCGAAGCCTAGTCATGAGCCACACCTCAAGTGGACCAGAGGTGAACCAGGAGCCAACCAGGGTCAGATGTAAGCCACGAGTCACACCATTACCAGAGGCGAACCATGAACCACACCTCCCAGCCAGCCTCTAGTGTTAGTTTTCCCTCATGCTTGTGCGAGGTGGCCGCCACTGCCGTTTGTCATGTTATTGTAATAAATTGTAATAAATGTTTGCGTCTCTTAAGCCTATCTTTAATTTATCCTCTGGTATTATGACCAAGTGTGCATGTGAAGGTCGAGTTTCAGCTCTCTGATTCCGGTTCTCCGCCTTCGATCGACCTATACAGATCCAGAGCCTACTGATCACCTATACTATAATTGAAGCTGTAAGTCCAGTGTGAAATTGAGACAGTACTATACAACAGTGTGGAGGCGACAGACAGGTGAAATAATTGTTGTGTATCTCTACAAGTAATACTATGTACTGGAAATGTGTACCCCCCCCCCCCCCACCCTTCCCTCACTGGGCGTGTCGGTGATCCCTCCACCTCCCCCCCCCCCTCCCCTAGCGGGTGTATCGTGATCCCTCCCTCACTGATCGAGGAAAGTACATGAAGTATTTAGTGCGATGCAATTCGAGCAGAGGACGCGTCTATAGTCGAGTCGTGTGAAATGAGTCGTTTTTGCTCCAGCCCATCCTAAATAAAAGCCAAATACTCGATCGTT